ATTCGAATGCCCCTGTGTTGAATTGGGCGCAGGGACATCAGTTTTCGAGGGGGACTAATTTTCAGTGCTTTGCCACTACCGGTGATGGGTCCATTGTTGTAGGGTCTTTGGATGGAAAGATAAGACTGTATTCGGTGAACACGATGAGGCAGGCGAAGACTGCGTTTCCTGGCCTTGGATCTCCCGTCACTCATGTGGATGTTACCTTTGATGGCAAGTGGATCGTGGGTACTACTGATACATACTTGATTCTTATTTGTACCCTCTTTACTGACAAAGATGGAAGGACGAAGACTGGTTTTTCTGGGAGGATGGGGAACAAGATTGCTGCTCCCAGGTTGTTGAAGCTCACCCCTCTTGATTCCCATTTGGCAGGAGCGAATAACAAGTTCCGGAATGCACAGTTTTCGTGGGTAAGTTTGAATTAAATTCTCTGCTTGCTTCGCCTATTGTTGTGTGGCAAATTAAAAATGTGATAATTATAATATCGTTTGCTTGTGAATTGTCATGGTATCTAATTAAATGTTGTTATTATCATTGCTGTCCTATTGTTCTTCTCAATTGCATCCTTTATTTCAAAGTGTCTTTTTACTAAATTTATTAAGTTTGTGCACATTACAGTATTTTGGCAATAAATATATTTTCCTTATACATTGCTGCATGTTTGCTATTGAACAGTTAGCCTGTATTATGTTGGTGTTATTTGTAAATCACAATACAAGGAGTTATAACATTACGAATATTTGTGCAAATGAAGTTTTTACGGTTGGTTCAGGAGACCGATTAAGGTTGAAAGCTATTGCCTTATAAATTTTCCTTTTGTTGCATATTTTTTATAATATGCTGCTGTGCTCTTATTTTGTTTTGTTAACTGAAGCTTTATCCTTGTATCTAGTTGTCAAAAACATTATCATGCATTGATAGAACTTGAACAGAAAAGGCTGAGAAGTAGTACCGTATTATAACTAAAACTACGCTCTTAATAACATGTGATATCACTAATCGTTTCCTCTCTCTGAACTGATCAGATAGAAATTATAGGTATCTCAGATTCTTGGATAGGTATCGACTCTCCCACCTATATCTTCACGCAATAATGTCCTCTTCTACCTCCTTTTTGTTTTTCTTTCCCTCTATCTCACAAGGAAATCTGTCCCTTTCTTCCCACACTCCTGCTGCCACATGTGCAGTATATTGGTACATGAAGTCAACACTTTGACCCCTTTTCCTGTAATACACAATACCTATCACGTGCACTTTGAGGTTTTTAGTCAGTTTTTTTTCTTCTAGTTAAAGGGTATCCCGTGTTCAGATTAGCAAACTCATAATGTTTAGCATGTTAATTGTTTGTTGGTTTTCAAAGGAATGTCGTGATTGCTGTTGTTGAAAGCATGGGGATTTCCCCTTGGCAATTCATGCATGAGTATGGTATCAATAAGCACAACCAACTTTAGCATATCCTTAATTATTATCTTAATAATATGATCTTGAGTTTTTTATTGGTTATATAGGCACTCTTCCCAGGCAAAAGTTTTTCTTCTCCCTTTTAAGATTGTGTCTGTGCTGTTCCCATATCTGCTGAGAAATTTCATGTTTCCCATATCTGCTGAGAAATTTCATGTTTTAATCTCGTGGAAATATATTTTTATTCTTTCTGCTTCTTGGTTGATTAGGTGACAGAGAATGGGAAGCAGGAGCGGCATATAGTAGCCACTGTGGGGAAGTTCAGTGTGATATGGAACTTCCAGCAAGTCAAGGATGGTTCTCATGAGTGCTATCGTAACCAGCAGGGTCTTAAGAGCTGCTACTGCTACAAGATAGTCCTTAGGGATGATTCCATTGTTGAGAGCCGTTTTATGCATGACAGATTTGCAGTCAGCGATTCTCCTGAAGCGCCACTGGTCATAGCAACACCAATGAAAGTTAGCTCTTTCAGCATATCTGGCAAGCGATGATACACAGCCAGTGAACAATTGTTGCTCTCTTAGCTTAACTAATATCGTTTCATATATTTCATTTAAAGACTTTTCAGTTGTACGTAGGATGTTTTCAATTGTAGCTGATATTGATGTCATTTCTGATATACAGGAAAAGTGTTGATTGTCCAATTGTATCAGCATGTTCAATTGTATAATTTTTTATCTCAATATCTTTTCCCTTTTACCCATTTACCAGTTCCTTTTTATTTAGCGCCTCAACAAGTGCTGGTAGAGCGAACATGCTGAACTTCCACCATTAATTTGCTTGTTTTGGCTTTACATACACTATGTCAATTAAAACATAAAAGGTATGAAAAATAAATAAAAACAAACCTGGATTGTACAAATTGGGAAAGGTTCACACCTCTCTTTGCTCTTACGGAAGAAGCTGAAGTAATTTATGATTTCTAGTGTGGTAATCTAAAACGGATGTCTCTAGATTGAAGGAAAATGTATTTTATCACGAGGCCTGAGAAGCAGCCGTTTGTTATCCAACTTCTATCTCAGTGGATAAGTGGGCCCCCTGTAACTTTTTACCTTTAAATCAATATGTATTAATGTGGTTGTTGGGAAGTCACAAATTTGAGGTCGGGCACAGAAGCAGATAATCAGAAAACAATGGTGGCAGTAGCAGTAGGAAGAGGCCTTCCTATTCAAACCCGCTATTTATTCAATAGTAAGAGCATAGATAGAGCTTCACCAGCAGGAAGAGTCTCGTGGCTTGGGCATTCTGCTGCTGTCACTCCACATTATAGACAAACTTGTGTAGCAGCGCAACAGCGACCTACATGGCTCCCAGGACTTGATCCCCCACCTTATCTTGATGGAACGTGAGGATATGATTCCTAGTTCCTCTACTGCTACTTTCTCTATTCAGCTTTTCATATAATGGTATGCTTTTCAGTCTGGCTGGAGATTTTGGATTTGACCCACTTGGGCTTGGAGAGGATCCTGAAAACTTAAGGTGGTATGTGCAGGCAGAGCTGGTTCATTCCCGCTTTGCAATGCTTGGGGTATTGGGAATTCTTGTGACAGATGTGAGTGACAACTTGCGCATGTACCTATACTAAAAGTTTAATGTAGAAAACGTCTTTATGATAAATTGATAAAATATATCAAGATTCTTTAGTTATTACTAACCATTAGAGTCCTTGCCTGAAGTAGTAGTTGCTAATCTGTGCAGCTGCTTCGCGTCACAGGAGTTAGTAAGATACCGGTTTGGTTTGAAGCTGGTGCAGTAAAATACGACCTTGCCAATACACAGACACTCTTCATTGTTCAACTACTTTTGATGGGGTATAATTTTCGTCATGAATTCGGGTTCTCATAATTCCATTATTCTTTAGAGAATTAAGAGGCCAATTCATATGACTTCACATTTGCTTGCACAGGTTTGCCGAAACAAAAAGGTACATGGATTTTATTAGTCCTGGATCTCAGGCTAAAGAGGGGTCCTTCTTTGGACTGGAAGCTTCACTGGAAGGCTTAGAGCCAGGGTATTGGCATTTCCATTAACAGTATATATATTCTCTAAATTTTTTACCATTCTTCATGTTCTTTAATTATCGTACTGAACATGAATAATTGTCAACAATGGCATAACCGTCATAGGGCATTGTGATTTTACAGTTCTTGAATTAGTAGACATTGAGGTGTATATGCATGTTTCGAACAGGTACCCAGGGGGTCCTCTGCTAAATCCTCTTGGCCTAGCTAAAGACATTAAAAACGCTCATGATTCGAAGCTTAAAGAGATTAAAAATGGTATATTTCTTTCTTAGTTCTTTGATTCTTATTATCAATAAATTTAAAGCCCCAAAAGGTCGTTACCATAGTTGTAAATCTCCTATTTACAGGACGACTTGCAATGGTTGCAATGGTTGGCTTCTTTGTACAAGCTTCGGTGACTCACGTTGGACCAATTGACAACCTTGTGGAGCATCTTTCCAATCCATGGCATAAAACTATTATTCAGACCATTGCGAATTCTAGTTCTTAGTTCTACCAACTGCTGTATGGCTTGGACTTATCCATAAAACGAAATTACTTTTAATTTTTCCACCTTGACCTCGTTGAGGCCAAGGATCAAGTTTAGATGTAGTTGTCTTGAAGCAAATGTATTCTAATTCATTTTCAATCGACTTCATTGTTTGTTTAGGCTTTTGGGGGAAATAAATGACTCAAAATCCGATGAAATTAACCTTCAAACCAAAAATTAATAAATAACAACCGTTAAAGTTTTCCACTTTAGCAAGCAAATCGATTTACTTTAAGAAGCTTTCTTAATTGTGGATAGAGTATGAATTGAATTATTTTGATGCGTAGTTCTTAAGAATTTGAAATGAAATACTTCCAGGGGAGTCGAACAACGAATTTCCTTTCTTTATATGCTTTATATTAAAAATATTGTAAGGATCTATGGAATGTTTCAGGTTCAGCAGCAGCAATTGTCCTAACTTTTATAAGACAGGGATACTGAGCAGTATTTCCATAATCACAGGGATAACATTCGTACGTTGCGAAGTTCATGAAAGGAGATATAATTGGATCATTAAAATAATTTACTAAAATTTAGGAACTCTAGGTTTAAAGAAGAGGAAAGAGAAGAATGGAGTTTCTGTTAAACATTTTTCTTTAGTTTAATTTTAATATAAAGGAATAATTGTTATTTTTGTTTAATTCCCAGAGAAAGAGAAAATATTTTAAAAACTATTTTAGGCTCGTGATCTCATAACTTCAAATTAAATTACAAAACATAAATATTGATAGTTTAATCATTACACTTGAAATGTTTTTAATTCCCTCTAAAATTGGATAGAAACAAGAATAGGATTAAAAATGATTCCATTTCTCTTCCTTCCTAAAAATGAAACCAAGCAAAATTAATTTATAAAAAATCTCTTCTTTCTACTTTCATGTCCTCTATTTTCCATCATTCAAATTCTGTGTTAAAATTTAATGATGAATAAGAAAAAAAAAATGTGAACAGAACAAAGGATAAATCTATCACTGACAACTCACTGAATTAAAATCGCAATATAAGTTAGATGTATAACTAATACAGAAAAGCGGGTGCTGAACCTGTAAAAAGACTCAAAATTTGGCGAGTGATCTGGATAAATTGTCTGAAAACATTGGAGACTTCAGCCTATATACGGTATATTCCAGGCATCAGAAGATCTGCAACATTCCAGGTATCTTCCCTGTTCCAATCTAATGAGGTGTTTCCAATAAGCTCACATCATGTCACTAAAAGCATCAAGTCTCAGACTCGGAAACCTTTTTCTTTCATTTGGTAAAATCTCAAACAAATCTTTACAAAAGCCTGAGGTTCAATATATCAGAAGCCTATACACAATACAGAATCATCTAATTTTCTCTTTCCCACTAAAGATGAATTTATTTTTATCTCCACGTAAAACACTCAGCAGGCGACCATATACCAACCCTTCATTGAGAGAGAATACAATCAAATACACAGTACAACAAGTGCCAACATTTACAGGTTCATGCAGTTGAAGATTCCAATATTTAAAGTCACTTTGAGATATCCAAAACGAGTGACTGCTAAGTTATCTGCAGTACAATTTGGAATTATCCTCACTTGGTTGAATGTGTTTTTCTCCTAGCAAAGAACATCAAAACCCTCGGGAAAAGTGACCTTTTCTTCTTTTTCCCTTGTTTTGTTTCTGGGGATGATCCACTTTCATCAATGTCTGGATGTAGATTAGTCTTTGGACTTGGAAACTGATGTGCAGCATTAGCTGCAACACCAGTGCGCTCAAAATTATTTGCTTCATGACTCCCCTCAAAACTACCCCTAGGACTTTTACTCTGGTTTACCGCTCCTTGGCCAGAGTCTCCCGCCTTTCTTCGTTGTTCACTTTCAGCTCTCCACTTTCTTAATTCTTGCTCTACGCCCAATTTACCTTCCTTAGCCTTCTCAGCCTTTTCCATCGCCACTTTCAAAGATTCCCTTCCTGCAGCTATCTCCCTATTCACTTCGTCCAACTTTTCAAAGGCTTTCAATTCAGACTCCTTAGCTTTATCAATTTCAGAATTAGCAGTTGCAACCCTCATATTGGCCCGTTCTTCTGCCTCATGTGCTCGTTTGCTAAGCTCATAGTACTCTTCCAAAGAAAGTGTTACCCCTTTGGATGGGTCCACTGCATTCTTGCTTCTAGTTGATTCACTCTCTTGCAATGCTTTAATTGCCGCTATTGCCAAATGTTCAGACGCCCTTGCAGCCTCTATCTCCTTCTGAGCTGCAAGTAATCTACTTTCCAAGGTACTTACTCCAGCCTTGGCTTGCTCTGCTTCTGCCTTTACTTTTTGTAGCTCTTCACGAGCTGCCTGAGAAAGCAAGTTGGCTTGACTAGTCTCTTCAGCCGCAATTTGTAGCTTCTTGGGAAGCTCGGTCATTTTCTCTTTAGCTTCTTTCTCCTTCATCTGGACCAAAGCAATTTCTGATCTGGTCTTTTCCAATTCAGCTTCCAGAGATGCAACCGCAATGGAGGCCATTCCCTCCCTTTGCCTGATGGCGGCAAGAGTTGCTTTTTCCTGTTCAAGTTCTGATTTTAATGATGTAGCAGCTACCTTCAAGCAACTAACCTCTGCGGTTGCTTTCTCTATGTTAAGATTCACTTCCTCAAGTTCCTTTTTGGCTGATGCAACTGCTGTTTGTATGTCAGTGTGGGTCTTTTTCTCTGATTCTTCCGGGCCTCCTTCTGAGTTTCCTTCTTCGTCACCTTCCTGCTTTAACTTTGATTCCATATAAGAAGATAATTCAGCTTTCAAATCAATCAGCAATGTAGAGGCTGTATCCAATTTAGATTTGAGTTCCTTTGCAGACAAAATTTGCTGGTTGAGTCTCTGGAGCTCTTCTTCTGTCTCTTTAAGTTCCTTCTCCCAATCAAGGGAATCTTGATCTCGTGCCATGACTGTTCCTATTCTTTGTTCCTCCGCTTCCAAGTGTGCACCGTGCGCAGTCTCCAATGATTCTTTTGCAGCAATTAACTCAATAGTTAAATCCTCTACAGACTTCTCTACTTCCTTTGATTCAGCAACGGCCTCTTCAGCTTTCTTAATAGCTAAATCTCTTTCACTCACTAAGATAGAAAAATTTTTGCGCAATGTTTCCTGCTCCTCTTTCACGGCTTTTAAATCTGAAACAGCAGCTGCATACCTTGCTTTGGCAACCTCAAGTTGTGCCTTGGCTGCAACACTAGATTCGTCTGCAATACCCTGCTCCATCTCTTCCACTCTGAGCTTTGCAAGTTCTGAGTCCTGTCTTGCTTGACGCTCTTCTGTTTCTGCTCTCTCTAGGTTAAGTTTTAATTCTTCTATTAATCTCTTTGTACTGTCTAACTCCTTAAGCATTTGGCCTTTTTCCTGTTCAGCATCCTCTGCTTGTTTTCTGTACTCTGGGATCTCCTCTTGTGCCTTTTCAAGCTCATGTTCTACAAGATCACGTCTCTATACATCCAGGGAAAAACTAAAGTTAACAGCAGTTCGAGCAGACAAACAAATATGCATAGCAGGAAGAATGATCATCAGGATCTCTATTTTTCCTTAGAAAACAAACAGTATTGGACATTAGAAAGCACATATATAGGCATAAAAGTACATATACTTCATTTTCTAGTTCATCTGAGGTCAAAATGAATTCATAAGTTCACAAATATAATTTGTTTTCTTTATTATCATGTTTTCAGTATAATAAGTATTTTCGTTTTCAAAAAATACTTCCGACTTTTGTTTTTGTTCATTAGCACTCTAATGCCACTTCAAAGCATTTCCATGTCATAAACATTATCTGCAGAGATTTTAACACCAAGAAAATTAGCCTGTTCAACACACTAGACTGATCATAGCATACATAAATCTGCCTAAATATTGGGTGACACATACACAGACACTTATATCCCAAATAAAAGAGCTCATATTCTAGTGGCATAAATTAGAGACAATTGCATCAGAAGGGCCTGCAACAAACTACCAAGTCAGTAATTTTTACATATACAGTTTATGTAAAGGCAAATTTGTAAATATGTCCCATAAAAAGCATTGAGGGAATATGTAGAAAATAAAAGTTCCAAATTTCTGCAACATGTGTGCCACGCCAATGCTTAGCCCTGTAATGTAATTTATGTTCGCAGAATATTTTTTTACTTCTATTATCAATATTAACATAAAAGGCCTGGTTAACCTTCTGTCACCAGTGGATGTTGCAACTGCCACTGTTAATCAAGGATACTATCTCTTTCATCTTTATACCCACTACAGCATCTACCTCTTGCCTATCTCATCATTATTGTATAGGTTTAGCTTTGAGAAGCAAACGGAACAGTGAATAGAATTTGAAATTATAAGATAGAAGTACGAAGAAGATAAATTGGAAATAACTGTCATAAAATACCGATGCTTGAAAATGCAAGACATACCTCCACAGTCTGGATTCTGTGAGCCTTCCAATCCACAATTCCTCCAAACTTGGAAACAGCTTGCTTGACGGATTTAATAGGAGCTCTGGTATCGATAATGTGTTTTTTCTCATCAAACATCTTGCCATGGGGGAGTGAGCCAACGGTTCCCATGGTCATTAAAAGTTCATTGTGATCATTTTGCAAATCTTTTGTTTCAGAAGAAGAAGCTGAACGCCTAATCTCATCATTAACATCACTATCAGCAGTGATATTAGAAACATTATCCAGCAATGCATGCCCGTCAGAAACATTTTCTAGAGCACCTGGTTTTGATTCTTCAACTGAAGTGACCTGCTGCCTTTTCTCTGTTACATCAAATGCAGCATCTGGGTTTGCAACTGAATTAACTAAAGAAACACTCCCCTCTTGCATTACAGTTTGACAATCATTAGAATTTGGAAAAAGTATTTGTTCAGGGAACCCATCCAATGGTAAATGAATGCCAGACTCCACTTTTGCATTACTAAGTGGGACAGTTGGAGCTTCGGTGGAAGATTGATTGTTGGGTAATTTTATCACTTCGGTGTTTTCTTCAGGGTGTTCTACCAGTGTCATCTCTTCAAAAAAATTTGTGGTGGATTCAGAGGGTAGCTTGTTGACAACATGTTCTGCCAGTGTCGCCTCTTCTGCAACTTTAGAAGAGGATTCAGAGTTCTCTATCACATACTCAGCAGGTGGTGTCTCTTTAATTTTGGAAGAAGATGCAGACGGTTGGTTGTCTCCAACAAGTTCTACCAGTGGTTCTTCAGCAATATTTGGGGAAGTTTCCAATGGTAGCTTGTCTCCAACAAGCTCAGCCAGGAGTATCTCTTCGGCATTTTTTGGAGAAGATTCATATGGTCTCATGTTTCCAACAAGTTCTGCCAGCAGTGAAGCCTCTTTAGCAATTTTTGGAGAAGATTCAGACGGTAGCTTGTCTCCAACATGTTCTGCAAGTTGTGTCTCTTCAGTAATTTTTGAAGAGAATACAGGGGGTATCTTGTCTTCAACATCCTCCATTGTAAGGATCAATCGGGAGCGCTAAAAGTGTCTAACCACTTAACAATAATAAGAAAAATGAGTCAGTAGAAAATAAAATTAAAACAAGAGAATTACAAGCCTATACAAGCTTTCCAAAATAATACAATCGAATTAGAAATTAAAAATCCCCTTGTATAAGTTTCAATTTCGAGCGAAATTGCTATTCACAAGAACAAGTCACCAATAGAGAATTGAATTCTACATATACCATTTAATTACTTTCCTTTTACGAATCATCGTCTCTGTTGGTTGTTAAAATGAAAATTTCAAAGGATTATCCGATTCCTGAATAAGAAAAAAACTGTTCCCCAGGTTTTAGGTGTTCAAACTCCGAATGACAGATTGAGACTTCTCTATGGATAAATGTAATTTCACAAATCACAACCAAATTCACTCAAAGGGAAAGGGATGAAACAGGGCATTTTAAAATCAATCCGTACTATTAACAGAGATAAAGATCTCATTTAATTCAAGTTCCAACCATGCTTAACAGCAATCTAAAGTTATCAACCACCTACAATTCTTGATGTTTGATCAACAAAAAAGTAATCATATAACACACGGAAGCTCACTCGTCTTTTCTCTTGATAGACGTTCCTACAAATCCCATCGTTATGAAATTTACAATGACAAACACAGAAGAAGACAGGACATATCGGCAAAAAAAAAATTGAAGGAAAAAGTAATCTAAACAATAGTTAAAACAGAAAATAAATATTTCCTGTTTCTAATTTATAAGCCGTCAACATTTCCCCCGTAATTTTCCCCAAGAAATAGAAATACAAGTAAACCAGAACAATGCACCATCTCTTGTGTGGCCAACCTTTTGAAAGCAAAGACTTGAATCATTAAAGACAGTAGGCAGTCGGGTGCAGGGAAAAGACACGGTGAAGAAAATTCTGATGAGAGAACAAAAAGCAAGGAAAAACACTGAAAAGTCAATTCCTGACCATTGTTAAAGCCAGAGAGCATTCACACGCTCTGTTTCCTTCCCCATAATTTTCTCACAAGTGTGGAAGCGTTTGCAAAACACGTGACATCTAGCTCTAAATACTCACAAATACTTGCATGCTACGACGTGATCGCAGATAAACAGAACAGAGCAGAACCGACGGAGAAATTAAACAAAGAAACGGGATTATGAAGTGAAATAGGCGTTGAAAGAAGAAGAAAGAACATACCAGATTAGGATTACGAATAATAATAAGGAGAAAATTGAAATCGGGGAAAGAGAGATAGATTCTAATTGCGCAGAAAAATCTGAGGAGGAAATTAAAATTAGGTTGGGGAAAAATAAATGAAGGTGGAAAAAATTTGCAGCCAAAATTAGAACACAGAAAAATAGAAAGAAAGATACACAGTTAGTGGAGCCTACCTCATCACAGCGGCTAGATCCATCTGTACCCTCCTTTTCTTTCTCTCTCATCTCCAATATCAATTATCAATTACCAACTATCAAATATCAATTTCTTCCTTCGACAGAAAATAATTAACTCATCCCTCCATTGCATTTTATTATTTTCTTATGAATATTACTTCTATTATTATCTTTCCTGCTAATCAAAACTATAATTACGTACGCCGCTACAATGCATTACCAATTAATTAATCTTCCGTAGTTGGTATTGAGGTAAGTTAACTCAAGAATAGTATTTAATTCATAATATAGTGCAGATATGAGATCAGTTAGCTTACCCACCTTGCATACCTTTTTCTTGGTCGGTGGTCCAGATTCTATTTCTTGGTTTTGCATTTTCCACTGCTATAAATGACCTAAAATCATACCGTTCATGTCAATCCGATCATGCAATTCCATTTCCATACAAATAAAAGAAGTAACTTTAGAAGAATTTGAAAAAAGCTGAGTAATTAATACAAAAGTGACCGCGGATAGTAAATGATGTAGATTCCAGCATGGCAAACCGTGTAAATGGAAGAGATCCGTTACATTACATTCATGATACCGACAGTAATGCACACATTATCAATAATAAATATTAATTAATGAGTTTTCTTTACCCTTTCTTTAGTAATCGAGTTTAATGCCATGATTCACATTGCTTTGCATGTAACGCGATCCACCAATAAGTGGACCTCGTTAATTGGGCCCAAAAAAGTCCAACAAGTTTCCGTCCGTTGGATGTTGTAGAGTGGGGTCCACATTCGGAAATCGCATGATAACGTTGTGAGGGCTTATTTTATTATTAGCACATGCTCATCTTGAATTTATAATTTGTTAATTTAACTATATGTTAGTATCGCTTATCATTGACTCTATTAAAATTTAAAACGAATTACCCACCCAATAATTATGTCTGCAAAAAGGTGTGAAACGAGGAAAAGTATCATTATAATTCTAAATTTATGATTAAGAAAATCATTACTTTATAACTAGTTAAATGAATTTATTTTAAGTTTTTAACTGAATTGAAAATTGATATTCGGAAATAAAATACTATGGAAAATTAAATCATGAAAAGACTAGGGTGTAAATTAAAGTTTGGGGGCCATGGTTTATTTTATTCTTTTGGTTTTATTCGTTACCAACCCAATGGTGCCACGTGGAAGGTTGGTTTGACACTAAAGTTGTGTTTAATATGTGCGTAAACTTTGGCTTTTGCTAGAGAATCATTGTTGGGTGGGGTTAAAGAAGTATGTGATGACTTTTCAACTAAATACAAAAAAAAAAAGCAAGGCATAATTAATTTTTTTTTTTATCACTTTTGGAATTATTTACAATTTTTCATAGTCTTTTAAATATAAATGTCATGCTTTCAAATTAGGGATTTCATTTTCGTGAAAACGAGTTATTGGATAACGAAATCTATTATCATATTCAGAAGGAGAAGTTGTGTTTAGCTTTGATAATTTTACAATTAAATTTTTTCTATAATTTTTATTATAAATTATTTTCGATTTTAAATCAACTTGACTAAATATATATTATCAATTTTCTGCATCTTAAAAGAAACTAAAATATAAACTACTTTGTTGCTTAATAATAAACAGGAAATTAGTAAAAAAGGAGAAATTAAAACAATATTTTAAAGTAGAACATTCAAACTAATCCGACCCGTTAACCCGTTAAGTCAAGTGACCCATTAAATACAGGCAAAACTTGTACGATACTTCATATTTCAATAACACAAGTCTTATATTATTTTAAATCTTCGAAAATGATGTATCTATAAACCCATAACATTTTCAAAGTGTCCGTTTCCGTCAATCGAGGAATCATTACACAAGTCGGTGCATATATAATCAATCTTTTCTTCTTTCTAATGAAAAAGATAAAAGAAAAATTGGGTGCCATGCTTCTCTCTTTTTTAAGCTTTTTGTTTCCAGGGTGAACAAAAAGTTATAAACAATCGTATTTACCACATTAATTTTATAATACATATTTTATTATATTTATTTGTATGATTAATTACGTTGAAAATGTAATTAATTATATTTTATTTTAGTTGATTATTTTTTTATATAATAGATTCTTATTAAAATATAAAATAACAATAAAATCAAATTTACTAATTTAAATTTTAATATTTTTGAAAATTACTTAATTTTAATGTACTTTTTAATTTGAAATAAATGTATTTTTTATTAAACGTTTGTAATAACCTTTTTGTTTGAATTTAATTTTTTTAACTTTATTTTATATTTTAAAAATTATTTTACTTTTAAAAAGTTACTTTACAAATTACATATGTCAAATATAAACAAAATTCATTGTATTCCATCACTGAGCTAGTTATCTTTTACTTTTCAGTTTCTTTTATATTCAATTCAAATATCTTTAATTTTTATTTTCTTTCTCTCTTTTTTAATCTTCATTTAATCTAAACAAAACAGTAATATAAGTTATTGATACTATTTTATTGTTCACTTTAAATAGATTAACTTGAGTGGTAAATATCTTCTCAATGTTATGTATTATAATAATATTAAGTTTGAGTCGATTTAATCTTATTTTATGTGTGATAGAAGAATTTTTCACACAGATAGCACCCTTTTACTTTGAAACTTAAATTTTGAACACATTTTTGGTGTTTCTTAAAAAACATACTAATGCAAAATCATGTTCAGAATTCAATTCTTCAAAAACCAAATTTCGAAGCACAAGAAAAATGTATATACTATTTGAGTAAATAAAATGTATTATACTATTTTGGTAAAAAGAAATTGACATTATGATATTTGTTTAAAAAATGCGCGATAGAATCAATTTGAATAGATATAACATGACATCGATTAACATAAGAAAAAGATTAATTTAATTCGTCTATTTAACATACTAATTCCACTATTATACATAATTAAGAAAGAAAGTACTAAAATAAGGCATATTTTAAGATTATTGTATCAAACAAAAAAACCATATATTTTATAAGTATATATAATATGTGATAAATTTTTTTCATGTTTAGTAGTGTTTACGTGTGAAGATTCTCTTAATTAAAGTAGTTACCATTTGTGTTTTTTTTTATTTATTTGTGCTAAGACTTTTTATGCTTATAATTGATATTTTTTTTATAATGCATGTTTGATCTCCCTTGAGATTAAGTATACTTGGTTGTGCATTCAAGTTGAGTACCAGTCGAGTCATAAGATTACCCATCTAAGTTGAATATTAACCAAACCACAAGGTTGTTCATTCAAGTTGAGAACCAAGTCATTCATCTATGGTCGAGCTCCACATGGACGACCTCTCCATAGTCATCCATTCATAGCATGACTGAGTAATCGCACCATAGTTAGATTAATAAGAGTAATGACTTAATTAACCTTTTATTACAGATTAATGTATGATTAGATCATCATTAGACCATCAAAATATAAAGAGGTTTTAGGTATGACTTTAGAGATCAAGCACATAATATGCATCACTTGTCAATCGAGTGATCATTTACTAACTTTGACATCAAAGTATTTTCTACAAGTATCCTCTGAACAATTGTGAATGAGCGAGAGACCCAGAGAAGGAGGGAGGACCAAAACAGCCAATCTACAACCGTCATTCGCTTAACACCAATTATGAATCTGTCCAATTTTCAACACATCTTGTCTAGTCTGACCATTTTACAACTCTTCTGCTAACGTATGTCACTTAACTCGAGTAGTTTACAATAACGCTTGGTCATTCTTAAGCTCGATCAAAAATCTGCGAAACATTTCTCATAACTAATTTAAGTATAACTTAGAGTTTTAACATTTGTTGTTTTTATCTACCTATTTACATTGTTTATTATGTTGATTTAGTTATTTAAAAAAAAATAACTTGAACAGAATTTGTTTGGTAGTCCACGTTCACATTCATCATGTAATTAGATTTTAATAGAAAAAGTTTAGTAGATTATAAGAGAGGCTATTGAGAAAATTTGGATTATAGATGTAATTGTATTTATTTTTTTAACATACACAACGAAAAGAAAATTAAACGAGTCACGATATTTTTTATCAAATCATAATTTCTAATATTAAGTGGCAAAACCATTTGAAATGATTGGAATAAAACCCATTGATATATAACCTCTCTTGAGTGTTGAGTGATAAAATTATCTAAAGGGATCAAAATAAGACGCTTAGTACAAATCTAGTCCAATTTCTCTGATGATTTTTTTAATGCATTTAAAATAAATTGATTTTGATATTTTAAAACAGATTTTTATATACTTCAAAACATTAAAATCAATGTATTTTGAAAACATAGCATAGAAATAATTAAAAAAAAAAACTTAAAAGAAAAATCCAAATTACGAATCTCTATAAAATTGTTGTAGATAGTCACATTGTGGACAAATATTTTTTTTTTCCTTCTACCTTCATCTGTACTTTTCCTTGTGATATATCCTTTTCACGTTAGAATAAAAATAGTGTTTTGTATCCTTACTTTTTAAGATGATTTTATCATTTTTCGCATATGAATGTCTTGTTACTCAGGTTTCTATTTCATAACGTGTTAAAAAAGAAAAAAAGTATTTTGATATAATTTTTTTTATAACATTTTGACTCATCATTTTTTTATTAATTTATTATTTATTTATTATTTTACTAATATATTTTAAACTTAATAAAAAAACGACACATGTGTTTTATAAAAATATTGTTAAAAAATCTTTATTAATATATTAATATCGATTAAAAAGAGGGAAGAAAGAATTACACGGATAAGCTCGGAGGTCAAAACCAACCAACCCAACTTACATTTTGCAGTTAAATGCGGGTTTGGGCCGGACCTATTCGTCTTGTCATCCATCCTATTAGGTGACCCTTGGGAAGCTTATCCATGTTCAATCAGCTACATTTTTTCATAGGTGGCACATGGAAGTTCAGGTTGTGGAAATTATAAGAATTCAAATGTCAAAAAGAAAAATATTTTTTTAATAATTTTTTTTAAACGACTTACGCTTTATGATAATTTAAGATTGGTCTTTTTTTAAATATACAAATTAATAGAATAATAACACATAATTTATTGTGAAAAAATTATTAAAAAAATTATTAACAGTCAAAAATCAGATTACATTTTAGTAGTACAATAACAATAAATATTTGCGAGGAAAAGATACAATAAAAAAAAAAAGCTTAATGTTTATTCGTTTATTAAGTGAAAGTTTTTCTTTTATAGTGATTCAGATTAAGACTAAGAACTATTACTATTTCTAAATAAATTATTTTCATTAGTTTAACTTATACTTTAATTAAGAACTATTTTCACTAACCTAATGGATGAGAAGAGGGGTAAATCGTCTGGGATCAGTGATATTGATTTTCCAATGTCCATCAGAAAAGCCCATGCTCCGAGCCTTCCTCCTCTCCCACTTCAGCTCAGTGCGACGCCGTTTCGTCAACCCACATAATCTTTGCCAACCCTCCTCCATGGCGTCGTGAACCTTCCACCATCTCCGGTGCGCCACGTCGCTGGCGTACACCCTCTGCTCCAGGGTGTCCCAATTGCAGTCGTAGTCCCTGAAGCAGTGCCAGGGCTTCCACCCCAGGTAGTGAATCGCATACACCTCTGCCGGCTCCGCCCCGAACAGCGCATTCTTCTCCCTTGCCTCTGCACTCGTGTTCGCCCAGAAATTCTTTAGAAGGTTCACCCTCCGCGGCAGCCTGTGCCACCACACCAACACCTCGTTCAGAAACCCCTGGTCCCCTCCGTTGTACGAAACGATGACATCGCGAAGCCGCATCAGCTCGCCGAACGTGCAGTTCGAAGGTTCGATCACCATTATCCCGGAGTTGAATATCGATTGGTCGTTCCCCGAGGCGGATATCTGCGGGAAGCGGAAGAGGATGTCCAGGTTCCGGAGAACGATGATGTCGGAATCGATGAAGATTATTTTGTCGTAGTCGGTAAGCTGCCACAGTCGGAGCTTGCTGTAGTTGTATTCATTGTAGCTTCCCTTCTCTGCCCTTGGGTTTCGGATCCGAGTAATCATTCGGATCTTCCAACCCGCTTCCGATAGGGACCTGCGTTTGGGAACGGAGATTGACTTATCCGCGAGGAGGATTAGGTGGCGTTTGGTCCCTGTTTGGTGGAGGGTTTGTGCTAGTGTTATTGCGCCGCAAACGTATGCTTCTGAGGAATGCAACACTGTCGCATAGGCTTCGCGCTTCATTTTCCCTCTGCTTTCACCGTTTTTCTCACTCTTCAACAACTCCTTCCTTCCTGCAAATTCATAACTTCAATTAGATTCTTTTCTATTATTTAATTTCTCACTTTTAAAAAATGTAACCCAGTTCAATTATATTTTTTTTCCAAAGAAAATTCATATTATTAGTTTTGTATTATATTTTTATTATTAATATTATAAGAAAGACGTACTTGTCCAGGTTTATGTATTTTTATCTCTGACTACTTACGCTTTAGTTTTCGAAAACTATTCTTGAATTTTTAATTAGATTTTATTAATGCATGTAAATTATTAGTATTACAAGAGAGAGGTAGTTGTTTAAGTGTATATATTTTTATTACATTAAAATATTATTATGGTGATTTGTCCGAAAGTAATAATGGTTCTANCATCGATTAACATAAGAAAAAGATTAATTTAATTCGTCTATTTAACATACTAATTCCACTATTATACATAATTAAGAAAGAAAGTACTAAAATAAGGCATATTTTAAGATTATTGTATCAAACAAAAAAACCATATATTTTATAAGTATATATAATATGTGATAAATTTTTTTCATGTTTAGTAGTGTTTACGTGTGAAGATTCTCTTAATTAAAGTAGTTACCATTTGTGTTTTTTTTTATTTATTTGTGCTAAGACTTTTTATGCTTATAATTGATATTTTTTTTATAATGCATGTTTGATCTCCCTTGAGATTAAGTATACTTGGTTGTGCATTCAAGTTGAGTACCAGTCGAGTCATAAGATTACCCATCTAAGTTGAATATTAACCAAACCACAAGGTTGTTCATTCAAGTTGAGAACCAAGTCATTCATCTATGGTCGAGCTCCACATGGACGACCTCTCCATAGTCATCCATTCATAGCATGACTGAGTAATCGCACCATAGTTAGATTAATAAGAGTAATGACTTAATTAACCTTTTATTACAGATTAATGTATGATTAGATCATCATTAGACCATCAAAATATAAAGAGGTTTTAGGTATGACTTTAGAGATCAAGCACATAATATGCATCACTTGTCAATCGAGTGATCATTTACTAACTTTGACATCAAAGTATTTTCTACAAGTATCCTCTGAACAATTGTGAATGAGCGAGAGACCCAGAGAAGGAGGGAGGACCAAAACAGCCAATCTACAACCGTCATTCGCTTAACACCAATTATGAATCTGTCCAATTTTCAACACATCTTGTCTAGTCTGACCATTTTACAACTCTTCTGCTAACGTATGTCACTTAACTCGAGTAGTTTACAATAACGCTTGGTCATTCTTAAGCTCGATCAAAAATCTGCGAAACATTTCTCATAACTAATTTAAGTATAACTTAGAGTTTTACCATTTGTTGTTTTTATCTACCTATTTACATTGTTTATTATGTTGATTTAGTTATTTAAAAAAAAATAACTTGAACAGAATTTGTTTGGTAGTCCACGTTCACATTCATCATGTAATTAGATTTTAATAGAAAAAGTTTAGTAGATTATAAGAGAGGCTATTGAGAAAATTTGGATTATAGATGTAATTGTATTTATTTTTTTAACATACACAACGAAAAGAAAATTAAACGAGTCACGATATTTTTTATCAAATCATAATTTCTAATATTAAGTGGCAAAACCATTTGAAATGATTGGAATAAAACCCATTGATATATAACCTCTCTTGAGTGTTGAGTGATAAAATTATCTAAAGGGATCAAAATAAGACGCTTAGTACAAATCTAGTCCAATTTCTCTGATGATTTTTTTAATGCATTTAAAATAAATTGATTTTGATATTTTAAAACAGATTTTTATATACTTCAAAACATTAAAATCAATGTATTTTGAAAACATAGCATAGAAATAATTAAAAAAAAAAACTTAAAAGAAAAATCCAAATTACGAATCTCTATAAAATTGTTGTAGATAGTCACATTGTGGACAAATATTTTTTTTTTCCTTCTACCTTCATCTGTACTTTTCCTTGTGATATATCCTTTTCACGTTAGAATAAAAATAGTGTTTTGTATCCTTACTTTTTAAGATGATTTTATCATTTTTCGCATATGAATGTCTTGTTACTCAGGTTTCTATTTCATAACGTGTTAAAAAAGAAAAAAAGTATTTTGATATAATTTTTTTTATAACATTTTGACTCATCATTTTTTTATTAATTTATTATTTATTTATTATTTTACTAATATATTTTAAACTTAATAAAAAAACGACACATGTGTTTTATAAAAATATTGTTAAAAAATCTTTATTAATATATTAATATCGATTAAAAAGAGGGAAGAAAGAATTACACGGATAAGCTCGGAGGTCAAAACCAACCAACCCAACTTACATTTTGCAGTTAAATGCGGGTTTGGGCCGGACCTATTCGTCTTGTCATCCATCCTATTAGGTGACCCTTGGGAAGCTTATCCATGTTCAATCAGCTACATTTTTTCATAGGTGGCACATGGAAGTTCAGGTTGTGGAAATTATAAGAATTCAAATGTCAAAAAGAAAAATATTTTTTTAATAATTTTTTTTAAACGACTTACGCTTTATGATAATTTAAGATTGGTCTTTTTTTAAATATACAAATTAATAGAATAATAACACATAATTTATTGTGAAAAAATTATTAAAAAAATTATTAACAGTCAAAAATCAGATTACATTTTAGTAGTACAATAACAATAAATATTTGCGAGGAAAAGATACAATAAAAAAAAAAAGCTTAATGTTTATTCGTTTATTAAGTGAAAGTTTTTCTTTTATAGTGATTCAGATTAAGACTAAGAACTATTACTATTTCTAAATAAATTATTTTCATTAGTTTAACTTATACTTTAATTAAGAACTATTTTCACTAACCTAATGGATGAGAAGAGGGGTAAATCGTCTGGGATCAGTGATATTGATTTTCCAATGTCCATCAGAAAAGCCCATGCTCCGAGCCTTCCTCCTCTCCCACTTCAGCTCAGTGCGACGCCGTTTCGTCAACCCACATAATCTTTGCCAACCCTCCTCCATGGCGTCGTGAACCTTCCACCATCTCCGGTGCGCCACGTCGCTGGCGTACACCCTCTGCTCCAGGGTGTCCCAATTGCAGTCGTAGTCCCTGAAGCAGTGCCAGGGCTTCCACCCCAGGTAGTGAATCGCATACACCTCTGCCGGCTCCGCCCCGAACAGCGCATTCTTCTCCCTTGCCTCTGCACTCGTGTTCGCCCAGAAATTCTTTAGAAGGTTCACCCTCCGCGGCAGCCTGTGCCACCACACCAACACCTCGTTCAGAAACCCCTGGTCCCCTCCGTTGTACGAAACGATGACATCGCGAAGCCGCATCAGCTCGCCGAACGTGCAGTTCGAAGGTTCGATCACCATTATCCCGGAGTTGAATATCGATTGGTCGTTCCCCGAGGCGGATATCTGCGGGAAGCGGAAGAGGATGTCCAGGTTCCGGAGAACGATGATGTCGGAATCGATGAAGATTATTTTGTCGTAGTCGGTAAGCTGCCACAGTCGGAGCTTGCTGTAGTTGTATTCATTGTAGCTTCCCTTCTCTGCCCTTGGGTTTCGGATCCGGGTAATCATTCGGATCTTCCAACCCGCTTCCGATAGGGACCTGCGTTTGGGAACGGAGATTGACTTATCCGCGAGGAGGATTAGGTGGCGTTTGGTCCCTGTTTGGTGGAGGGTTTGTGCTAGTGTTATTGCGCCGCAAACGTATGCTTCTGAGGAATGCAACACTGTCGCATAGGCTTCGCGCTTCATTTTCCCTCTGCTTTCACCGTTTTTCTCACTCTTCAACAACTCCTTCCTTCCTGCAAATTCATAACTTCAATTAGATTCTTTTCTATTATTTAATTTCTCACTTTTAAAAAATGTAACCCAGTTCAATTATATTTTTTTTCCAAAGAAAATTCATATTATTAGTTTTGTATTATATTTTTATTATTAATATTATAAGAAAGACGTACTTGTCCAGGTTTATGTATTTTTATCTCTGACTACTTACGCTTTAGTTTTCGAAAACTATTCTTGAATTTTTAATTAGATTTTATTAATGCATGTAAATTATTAGTATTACAAGAGAGAGGTAGTTGTTTAAGTGTATATATTTTTATTACATTAAAATATTATTATGGTGATTTGTCCGAAAGTAATAATGGTTCTATGTCTGGTTATTGATAATTGAAACGATCAAGTACCGAAGGAATCTATAAACGTTATTATGGTAAAGGATTTAAAGAGAAAATAAATATTTTAAAAGGTTTTAATCTGTTTAAAAAGATCGAAAATTAAAAGGTCAAATGATTAAAAATATAAAAACAGGCAAAGGAAATAAGAGGGACAGACTTTTTTTAATGCTCTAACTTAAGAGTATCCGTAGTTTCTAGCCAGAACAAGAGAAATAAAAAGATTTAACAGTATTAAAGAATTATGTTCATTTCTAATGACCTTTATACCGATATTTCTGAATGAAGAGTTTGGCAGTTATCTTTTATATATGTTTAAACAAAACAATGTAACATAAAAGGAAAAAACAATACCATAGATATAGAGATGTTATAAAATATTGCATGGATGTGAAATTCATCCTCTTTGGCGGATACGGAATTTGTTTACGCTACGAACAATGGCAAACGAATGCTACTATGGTAAAAAGAAAAAAAAAAGGTTGGTGGAAGAAAAAGATAATTAGCTAAAAATAAGTGAAAATTGAAGTTCCAAATTTGAAAGAAAAAAGAGATGGACAAGCTAAAAGTAGTAGAAATTGATGAAAAATATTACAATAAATTTTACTATTTAATTGAAAAAAATTCCCAGCCCATGTTTTACCAAATATATCCCACCTCATTACATCTTTATCCACTTTGTTTCATCGTCTGAATGAAGCAAACAGTAACAGGTATGGGTGGAGGCATCATAATCCTATAGTTGGTTACCTTCACATCGCAGGAAAAGTGAAGTGGTTGCATGGTTGGTATGGGTGGTTTAACCAAAATTCAAATAAACATGCTTGTACTAATACTTTTGGATAAATATTGTGATGACCAACACAAACATTTAACTATTAGCTCATTCATTGCTAGGGCATTTTAAAATTTTAGTAGATAAATATTGTGATGACCAACACAAACATTTAACTATTAGCTCATTCATTGCTAGGGCATTTTAAAATTTTAGTCATTTAGCGTGTGCATTTATTGTTTCTTTGTTCATTTTTATGAAACCTAACCTAGTGGGTTTCTTAACCAGATGACTGAGGCTTTTAAGATGAAGAAAATAAATGCATTTTGTAGACGATAAACTTGAGAAGGAAGAAGAAGAAATATATGGCCATCACTTGTTGCAGCTATTGTAAGATCAGCCATATTTTTATCATATTCTTGCCACACTACGCTTCTTCTAATTAGTGTTTAGAAGAAAGTGCTGAAAATACTAGAATGTAAAGAGCTGTTTTCAAAAAACAAATATAAAAAAGAATAAAATTTTACATGACTTTTTCACTAAATTAATAAAAAAAAAAACTTAAAGTTATTCATTACAATAAAATGTCTTTTAGAATCGCCTTTGTAAATACTACTTGTTCATCTTAGTAATATTTTGAAAATTAAATTTGGGAAATAATTTTGGTATAAATGGTGCGTATCTATAATATGCAGTGAGTGTAAAAGTATTTGAAAGCAATTTTTTCACCTTGTTCCCAGAGAGGCATCGCCAACTTACACGAACCGACGGGCAATGAAACTTTGTCTTGTAACTTATTCATGTCAGCTTCATAGTACCACCATTCACCTTCCCGCTTAACCAAGTTCTCGCATGGAAACAGTTCCATCATTGGTCTACACTTGCTCCAAAAAACCACTCTAGTCTTCCCTCTCCAATCCTTCTTCCCATTCTTTGTGGCTAAATTCGCAACTATAAGATGAACTTGCAACCTAAAAACGTCCCTGTTCCACCCTTTTTCGGGATACCTGCATGGCAGCTTGGCAACGATGATGTCCATGCATCCATATTCTGCAAACTCTGGCATAGGTATCTCCGGACACGACGGCACATCATTCTCTTCTTCCTCGTCTATCCATTCAGGAAACAAGTCTGTCCAGTTCAGAGACTGTGATACCCTCTGGAAATGAACCGTCGTGGTTTCCCCATGCGTGCTCCATTCTCTCACAAGGCCTTCTTCCATGTTCACCATTCCTATCCTCGTTCCTTTCCCCATCTCGCCAAAAAAGCTTGGTACTACATTCTTTTCCCTGTGTTGGTTTTCTTGAGGTTCTTCCAATACCGCTTTCATTTTCAGGCTTTTTTCTGCCTACAGGTTTTGAAGATCGGATAAATAATGGCAGATAGAATGCGTGCTTCACATGCACATCAGCTGAAGTTTGAATTAAGCTTGTACACACAAAAGGAAGAAAAAAATGATATGCCACTGAAGTATAGGCTCACCTTCTTGTGATGACATTCGCCCAAGGAGCACCTCACAAGGGAGCCCGCATTCTCCAAATAGTCAGAAGATGGATGGGGAAGAATGGTGGCATAAACAAGCAGAAAGACAGTGAGGAAAACAAAATTGGTTATGGTGATCAAAGCTTTAGATGGCATTATCTTCAGCATCTTTCGAACACTCAAACCTTGCATCCCGTGGGTAGTGTTATCAGCGATGCTCGAATTGAGAGGACTATACTACGTATTTAAATGAACTCCCCACTGATCAATTTAGGTGTGAATTATGTAGTAGTTAAAGATAGTGAAGAGAATAAGGAGTAAGGATCGGTAGTAGTTGCAGTAGCAGTTAGAAAATAAGAGTAAATCTCAAATCATTTACGTAACTCCCGAGGGTGATTTCCTTGCTTTGATATTTCCTTTCGAATGAGACAAATGAATCCGAACAAAACGGCTTTACTTATATCACAGGCCAATGGTCAACTAAAATTCTAGGCACAAAGATATGAAATTACCCTTATACCATTGGGTATCAGTAGCTAAAATCAGTTAAGAATCACAGGGGCAGAGAAGTAAAATCCCCAAGTCCATTAACATTGGAAAATGCTCAAGTGTCAAAGTGCAAGGACAAGGCTCGCCAACTATTCGGTTGATACGTCACTCTCTTACATGCAAAGAGAGATTGCTATTCTTTGTTTCTCAATTGCGAGTCTCCACCAATTCCTTATAGTTTATAATATATCTAATGAAAAATCTCTTTTAGCTTGTTCAAAATTGATATAAAAAACTGTCTGCAGGTTGTGCGTCCGCACATCATATATCACCAAAAATGATTCCGGGGGAAGTTTAGAAGGGCTAAATCCCAGTAGCTGTTAAACTATCAGATTTATGTCCCCACATCCAAGAATTATCAGATCAAATAAAAGTGGGGCCATATATGTGAGACCAATGTCATGCTCCCTATTTCAATCATTCAATGAAATGAAGCGCGGCAGCGGGTCAACCACACTAGCTTCAGGTGGTGAACCAATCCCACTATGAATCGTGCTTGAGATGTGATGAATCTTGTTAGTCCTCCTTAGTTTCCACCAAAAAAATAATTCTAGATCTCTTCTCTTGTCCAAAAACAGATCGGATATCAAATGCAAACGAAAACCAATTTCTTCCAAAAAATTGTAGAATTCAATAAAAAGGATTACACAGCTATTTCCGAAACAAATAAATTATCTGTACACGTATGAGTAAGAACACCTCTCGCACAGCATGCTCAACTACAGTAAAATGACCTCATAACTTAAATGTACGTTAGCCTTTATGTCCTCTCACATTCACATTTTCCTTACATTACATCCACTGAGAATGTTAATGCAGCGTTCATATCAGAAGGAATTTCTATTGAGAAGACAAGAAGAATAACACAACTTGAAGGCAGACGTCCTGGCATCTCACCAGCTGATCAAATTGCGACAACAATAACATCCAATTTCTCAAGGAAAACACATGAAATTATGGTTAGCTCAAGTTTGCAACCTGGAAATCATTTAGTAATTTCTTGTATGTGTTGAGAGTGACTTTTTCCTGGGGGAATAAAAATCAAATCCTCCCATCCTGAACTCCTTTCACTCATCTGCATCGAGAGAGAGAGAGACAGAACTTATCAGAATTCAGACCACTGCGAAGCTTATAAGCTAAAGAACTTGTAAGCAGAGGTAACTACCTCCATTTTTTTCAGTACATCTTCCAAGCTACCAACCTGTTAATTTATATATATAAAAAAAAAAACAGAGAGAAACACAAACTTCAAATAAATTACGAATGATTGATTAAAAAAACAAATTCACTCTAGCATGCAAGTTATTGTATTATTTGAACAACACAAGAAATTTAACAGAATATCAGAATTTATATTAGCCGACAGGAACAATGTGGTTTCCACACACAAAAATCTAAATCCAGTTTATTTACTAAAACACAAGTTTCTTCCTTTCCCTTTAACCCATTTTTGATGGAAGACAGATTACAAGGGTTTACACATGAACATGCTTTGTTTGGTTTGGAAAAATTCTGTCTTCATTTCTTATTTCCAGTAAGAATTACAAAAATGTTATTTTTTTTTTTTGGCCGTGTCCTGCTTTCAAAGATTTATAAAAAAATGGTGAAAACAAATCTTCATTCCAAGCCCCTAAGTTCTCATCATTTCCTACACAACTTTTCCAAGCAAGGAATATAGTTAAAAACACACCATTATTGTAATTGTTAATGACGGTTAAAAACACATCATTATTGTAATTGTTAATGAAAAAAAAAATTGTCTTCAATCAAACAAGCCCTATGATTCTATTTTTACATTGAAACCATCCATTGGAAGATGCTTTGTTCACAATGAAGATGGAAAAAGAGCATTGGCAAAATGTAAACCATTTAAAGGGCTAAAACTAATTAGTCCATCAGCACAATTGTTTCCTAGCCCATTTTGATTCAAAGCCAAATTTAAATAACACAAGCATCTCTTGCCTTAATCATTTCCTCAAAAGACAATGATGTCATGGTTATCAGGAAAATATAGTACACAAGACACCTATGATTCAACCAAATATTCAGCAAGTTTTCAAGTTGATCATACAGGAAGTTATAAGTTAATATTTATTCAAGAATCAAGGTAAGTCTAGCACAAAGCACTAGCAACACGAAATTAGGGTTAAATTAAATTAAATATGCTACTGCTATTGTGGTAAAAAGATTATCAAGTTCGCGAGCAGCTTTGACTGATACATTGCAGCGGCAAAAGTATAATAATTTAAACAGAATACTTTGAAAGATGCTTCCAAGTAACAAGAGTAAGGATGGAGAATACTATACCACTATTTGCTGAGAAGCACCAGGTGCTCTAGATGCCCTGGAAACTTTGGACAGTTCCTGCTCAATATCCTCCTGTCAATATAACCAGAAAAATGATAAAATACTATATACTACTTATATTTTATGAAACAAAACGCAAATGACTAATGATTCTAGATAAAGACTGTGAAATAATGATAAGATCAACGAATCAGACAACCTTAGAGAAATACACAGGGCAGTAACGCTTGTTCTTCTTCTTCACAACCAAAAGTTCAGACTGTAAGCAAGCACATATAATTATTAGTCAACAACAGCGCCAATTTTGCACCGAAGCAAGGAATTACTAAAATAGTGAGTGAAATGGCTTAAAGTTGTCAGCCTCTAATATTTATATGTATTCTGTACAACAGTTGCAGTTAATTAATTGACAAATATTGCAGTGAGAAAAAGTGAGCTGAAGTATACTGAACCAAATAGTAATAGTTGTCGTGCTATACTGATAAATAATGCATAGATGAAAAGACAAACTAAAACCATTTTTTAAGTCCCAACAAACCATCCAAAGTTCAGAAAAAAGAAAAGAGAATACACCTGAAAAACAGGAACTCCATCAAAGCCTCCCTTGTTGGCTGGTTTGAGCTGATAAACATGAAATGGAAGTTACATTTAGCACAATCTAGGAACCCTATATGGTTCACTAACATATTTTACGTGTTTATGTACAATTTAGTTTAAATTAATGCCAAAGAACTAATTCCCACACTTCAGCTAACATGATCAAAGCTTTTTTTCTTTTCGCCCATTATTGTCATTGCCAGTGAACTGAAATGGTCATGCAAAAATTGTAGATGCTAACCTCCAAAGCATTTTTTATTTGAACTGGATCAGGTAAGAATCGGAATGCAATGCCTTCCACCTTCAACATGTATACCTGTTGTGCAAGAAAAGTCATCCATGAAAGGTACAAGATTAACACTACGGTTCATGCGTTACAAAAAAATGATCCAGTTGCAGTCAATAGCATAGCCTCCCCTTGTTGATAGGAAAGACAAAGGTGTACAATAAAATTCATGTTGCAAAGCTCCTAATAAGTGACATGGATTGTCTCACTTGTATAGAGATTCAAAGGTAAATGGAAATTCAACTTTTTCAAAAAGAATTGTTCCCTGTCATAATTAAGTACTTAACTACCACGTGGCTTTCAATATGATAGAAGTCCATCCACATCTTTATTGAATGTCAAGCATGGATAGGTCAATTAACGTCAGTAGATGGATAGAGGCTTCACATTGGCAAAATACATATGCTGCTAATGAAGTAAGAATGAACATAAAGTTTGCCGATATATATATTTGAGAAATCGGAATTAACATTTATTTCTCATTTCATAAAAGCAGCATTAGGACGAGACAGTTGAGAAATTGCAAAAGACCTGGTCGAGAGTAATTGGAACAACCCTAGCCTTGTTTCGAAGTTCTCTGCTACTTGATCGAACCTAAAACAGGGAGTAACGAATTAGGAGAATGAAATTAAGAGGATGAAAATAAAGGAAAGTGGAAGGAAGAAACCTGAGCGAGGAAGGCTTGGGCGTCCTCTTGGCGAAAGCAGAGCAATCCAATGGACTTGTCACCGTCGGCGTCGGAGATAAGAACGAACTCATTGTTGGAATTGCTGACGGTGTAAACAGAGGTGCCGATGAGGGACTTGGCGACGTGATTGGAGCCCAATGTGGGAGTGGCGGCAAGGGCATGTTTGGTGGAGAGAAAATTGTGATGAGCTTGAGCTAGGGCTCGCCTTGTGTCATCCAAACGAGTGGTTAGGTCGGCCCCGAGACGGACGCAGTGTTGATGGACGAAGCTGGAAAACGACAGAAGCGGGTTTGAGTGTCCGCGGGACTCCATCTTAGCCTTCCCTTCACACAATCCCTTCGCCTTAACTACATAAACATAAATATCCCATTTCTTTCTTATCTTAACAAACCCATTAATTATTTCGGCCCTCACGCTGTAAAAACGGCTCACCGAGTTCGGCTTCGTTTGGCTTAATATACTGTTACTCGGTAACTTATTCACTGAATTTAATTTGACTTATTTATTAATAAATTTGAAAAATTGAATCTGATTTGACCTTGATAGATTAAATAAATTAGTTTATTGATTTATTTAATTATAATTTTTTTATTTAAGAAAAATCTTTTTAATTGAATCTAAATAAAATTAATTTTAAATGATAAAAATAACAAAAATGGATAAATGAAGTAATTGGACTCAAGGATGATAATTAAGAAAATAAGTTTTTTTAATATAATATATAATTTTAGAAAATTGGATGAGTTGATAAATCAACTCGATTCATTACCGATTTAATCCAAAATAAATCAAATTTGCAGTGAATCAAACTTAAAATTAATCTATATCAAAAATAAATTTTTTAAATTTAATTGTTTGAATCCGTAATAAATTAGATTAATTCATGAATTTGAACCCCTTATACAATATGTTAAAATAAAATAAAAAATGCTAATTTGAAAGATATAACTATAGACCATGAACATATGTATTTATATTAAATGAACTAAATAAATAAATAACAAATGATGATTCCAACCCAACACGGGCCTATGCTTAATTTATGACTCTTAAACTTAATTTCTATTCCTTGTTCATCTTGTTTTGGCTTCCATATTCTCAACTTCCTAACTACTAAAATTACAAGTAGAATTTATTAAATTGGATTAAATATTTCATTTATTTCTTATGTTGACTACCTTAACTAGTCATTAATCCGTTAACCCCATCACTAAATAATGTTTTACTTTCGCCCAAAATCTGATTAACCAAAGGGATTACAGTTTTGCCGTTATTTTTCTTCGTGTTTATACATGGACCACGGATTATGCAGACCAACTCTTTTTAACACCCTATTTTAACCGAAGTTTTAACAAACAATAAAAACGTTTAAGGTGTGATATATATGGTTAATACAAAATGTTGATGGTTGATTGGCGTGCATGGTATATGGACAGCTTTTAAACTCCAAGTCATTCATAGTGTCTATAATCTATTGGGAACAAAGTGTAATCTTCAACTATTGTATACGTATTTTTATACCAGTATTATTATTTTAGCGTTTGCAT